ACCAAACCACCACCAAGCCACCACCAAACCACCACCAAACAACCCTTTTTGTTGAGGGAAGCCGAAAAAAGGGGCTGCGCGTCCCAAAGAGGACGCCATGGTAAAAGCCTAGGTCTTCTGCCACGGCACCAAGTCAGACTCCTCGCCGGTCTGCAGAAGCATTGCCCTGAGCCGCTGGACCCACGGGTCCAAAACAAAGCGAAAAAAAGAACGGGCCATTTGCCCAGGAGTGGTTCTAGGGGTTGATTCCCCATGCTTGTCAACCATCGTTCTTTCCAAAAACCGGCTGGTTTCCTGAGGTTTTCTAGAAAGAAGGACCCCTGGAAAGAATGGGGCAGGTACCCCTACAGTGATGGTGATCCTTCTCATGGGAAAATGGTGTTACAAAGTACACAGGTGAAGCATTTGCTCGGGAAGTGAGGCTCGCTTTGCCTAAGAAATAGGAAAATAGGGCGACCTCGTTCCTTTCCGCCCTGAAGTTGGAAGGACTTTTTCGCGGCTAGGTGAGCTTTCCTTCGGTGTAATTGATCGGTGATTCAAAGCAAACGGCTTGTGTGCGGCTCCGAGCAAAATGCTGCGTGTCAAAACAGGGGTCCCGCTTGAAAGCAGCCCGAAAGGACATGGACACGTCGCGGGGGCACAAACAGCTTCCTATCACCTGGATTGGAAGCTCAAGTCGCTTGATTGTTTGCGACTTCTCTGGATGGGAGCTCTCCAGCTGGTTGAAGCTGGGGTCCTTGCTGTCCTCCTCTTGGACGAGCCAACAATTCTTGGCCACCAGCAACCTTTGCTTTGCGCTCCCAGCACAACGCTTGGGGCTTCTTCTGAAGACGCCTCGCGCTCTGGACACGGCCACTTTCCTCCGCCTGCGTCTGTTTCGCGATGCGGAACCGCCGAGCGTGGGACTGCTTCGCCGCGTCCTCGCTCAAGGTTATGGCACCCTGCCAATGCTTGACGTTGCTGCCCCAAAGGCTATGTTTTGTTTGGCTGGCGGCAACATAATCATTTCCTAGAAAGGTAAATGCTGAAGATCCAACCAAAATAGCGGCCATCCTGGGCTGTCCCCTCCTCAGATCCCCTGCCAAGAACGAATAACTTTCAATAGAACCCCCGCACCAAACCAACTCAACTGAACTAAACACTTAAGGAACCGGACGGCTGGGAACCACCAAGTACATCCAAGTCCTGGATATCAACACTGGTTGACGCCCGGAGCTCGATAGGCTCAATTGCGCAGCTCATTTTGGGCTTGGGGTTGGGGGAATCCAGATGGGGTCATGGGATCGTTTGAAACATAGGGAAAATCGCATGGGACAGTGGCCCAGGCGGTCAACATCATCCCTGAGCGCAGTTCATGGTCCTTCCCGCAACAAACACAGACCGGTCGCCACTGTGTAAGGATGGCTTTTGTGCACGCTAAATGGCCCTCTACGAAACCTTCACCAGTGAACAAATCGCTGATATGTCTTGGGTTGACCAAATCGATCTTCCAGCAAGGTGTGACTGTGAGTGGCCGGCTTCTCATGCGACCCAAGGTAAGTTGATGTGGGTGTCTCAAAAAATGAGAATCACCAAAAATTGCTAGGGTGTTCCTTTTGGTATCCCGGTAAAGCCAGCCTGCAAGGGTAGCCTCAAGTAGTACACATTCCAAAAAAGGGCAGCCTCCAAGGAACAGACCCCGCCGCGATAAGAGCGCAGCCTCAAGCCAAAAGCAGGTGATATCCAACCCTTTCCCGAAGCCGCCCAAGCCGCTCCGGCTTGCAGCTGGGGGAAAACATGGTGTAGAACATAATTACTGTGTTTCCACAAGATCCTGCACCTGAGAACGTACTGTGTTTTTCCAAGATCCTGCACTTGGAAAAAATAAAGTCTGGTGAATACTTGGCTAGACCACCTACCAACTGCAGTTGTTTGGTCCACCAGTTCCTTTGAGGCCGCAGCGGGCTTCGAGTCAACTGGGGCCTCAGCCGGCCGCTCGTGCGCTGACTTCCTTTCGCTTTGCCCGTTTTTCCGAGCGTTTCCGCCAAAGCGGAGCTTCCAAGAGTAGGGCTCCACTGTTGCCTGGCAGCAATACTTCCAAAGACTTCAGAAAGGGCAACTACAAGGCAACACTACATGAGGGTCCATGTCTTGGGAAACATCAACACTTGCACACCTGAGCCTCCTTCCACTCACGGTGTCGGAAGGCAATCTTCATGTACAAAAGGCCCGAAGTCCAGTTCCACAATCGTCGGAAAGAGGACATACATCCAAACCTGAAATGACAAACCCTCAGATCTTGAATGGTAATTGCTCATCGTTGGTGAGAAGTGTTATTTCAGTTTCAGATGGGCATACATGAAGTTAAACTGTCCCGTTCCTTCCCTCACATAACTATCATGGCAAGGGTCGCCATAGATTTGAGCATACCCGGGTTGGCACCTTGAACTCTTGCCACGCACCATGAAACATGGGAGGTTCCACGGTAGGCAGACTTGCGTTTGGTGTCCCCCTTTTCGCAGTGTTACACGGGTCATCCTTTGAACACACCCAGAGTCTACGGCCTACCCAACATCATGCTTTCAGAATCAGGGTGGACATCCACACCTATGGCTGGGCCTTTCGCCCCGTCACTGCCGCCATGCGCCAGTTGCAACCGGCTCCAACCAAGGAAACAAAGGGTTTGAACAAACCGCACTACCCTTCCAACAAATATGGATGTGGGTCAAAAATAGGGCAACCCCAAAATGGAACCCTGGTAAATGGAAACATGGACTAAAACCTGGGCCGGAGAAAATATTTTTTTCTGCAGCCCTTGTCAGTTGCCATAGTGGCAGAGATTGGCAGTCGGCCCAAAACCCAACTTTCTGCAAGCAAGGCTGTGAAGCCTGACAGTGGCAATCTGAAAGAACAGGGTGGAAGTGTTGACACGAAAGCAAGGCGACAACAACCATACTGTGGATGGACGAAATCCGTTCGCACCACGTTGGAAGCCCTGGAATGATATGATTCCCCTGTAAATACCAACGAACAATGGTTTACCTGGTTTCAAAGTGGTGCGAACGGATTTCGTCCATCCACAGTAGCTGGCCACTGCACTTGGGCGCCGCGGCAGTGCTTTGGCCTTTGACAAAACCCGCAATGCCGCCTTCCAGCTGGCGAAAAGGCAACCCTATGGAATCTGACGGTACGATTCTTCTACCCCCTACTTTGCCTTTTGCTGCACCCAACTGGAGATGGAGGGTGCACCGGCGGCAACGTGTCAGAACTCAAGGGAGCTTGACTTGGCTTCATTGGGAATAGTGGGAGAAGCTGCTCGGGAGAAGCCATGTGGCATTGGTCCACACTCCATTTCCAATGCTGCAGCAGTTGTCAAAAGTTGCCCAGCTCTCTCTAACCCTGAACAAGGCAAAGCAGTTAAGCCACTCGCATCTCATTGAGAACCCTATGCCAACGTCCATCTACACCCAATCTGAACAGTGGTTTGGTGCTACCATCAACTGCGGAAACGTGTTGGCCTCCCTTTTGTACAAGCAGCATGAGTAAGGCACCTTTCCCTTTATAGGCCACTGCTATCTGGCAAGACCTGCAATCATCCCCCAAACCAACTAACATGAAACCGAAAGGAAAATATGTAGCCTTCCAGGACCCCTCAATCAGGTTCCATGGTGGTAATTGGTGGGAGGGCAATTGATCTGTCAGTATGTCACATTTAGAGACCCTGCTGGAGTTTGGTGCCGCCCAAGTGGCGAGGATTGCGGTCAGAGGGCTATGTACCTTTTCAAGGGCCCCTAAGAACAAATATCCGGACCCTCCAACTATCCTCACCAAATCCAACACAAATGCAAAGTAACACAAAACAACCATGCGATGCCAAAAACTAATAATAAGGCAACCCCATCCACTGGCCCTTCCAATTTGACGACCTCCCTTTCAACCGCGGGGCACGGACCGCACGCGAACAAAACCAGCTGGGCGCCTTGAGACTCTCCAGGTAGTTGCCGGTGTCTGACGCATAGCCTCGGGCGAAGGCAAGCGAAATGGAGCCCAAGACCTGAGACAAGTTGAGGCCTGGGTTCAGGGCCTATATGGGTACCCATATTTGGGGTCTTGGGCTACTTGGGTGTTCGATTCGCCAAGCTAGTAAGTGGTTAGTAACCATCATTTTAACCTTACAACTGGCCCAGCTCACTCGTAAGAAGGTTCTACCCCAGGTGCCCGACCACCTACTAACTTGGCCGAACATCCAAGTAGGGTATCCACAAGGAAGGAAAGCTTCTCGCTCGAAATACATTTCGGACCCCTTTTTGGTTGCCTTTTTGAAGGGGAGATAAGACGAAAACAACTGCCATTTTAGGGAAGCTCTGATTCATGAGGCGCCTGTGTCTCATTTTGGGGGGCCCCGCCAAAGCTTTTGCCCCCCGCCCTATCACTCTGCCCGGTTTGTCTCGCTGGCACGCTTCGCAGTGAAAGTGAAGCCGGACTGGCCCTGGAAACATGTTCATGCATCCCATCCCAGGCGCTGATCACATTGAAGGGGTGTCCCTGAAGAAAAGGAGGGCCCACCAAATAGAAGCCCAACACCTCATCATTTGAGGCTTTGGGGGTTCAAGGCCCTCCAGCATCATGCTCTGCAGACAAAGTTAGGCGCAAAGACGCCGCCAACGCTCCTTTGCTTTCATGTGACGCTTGCATTCCCCGATTCGTTTGCATCGCCAAGCAATCTGACACGCGCAGGCGAGCTGTGGCGACATTGCAAAAGCGGGCACAGGACTGCTGAACTGGAAGCACGTGGTTTGGTTCCAGCGCAGCTTTTTAGCTGAGATGTTTGGGCATATGCGGTTCAAGGTCATTGGCGCCTGCACGAGCCTGGACATGACAGTCACTGGCATTTCAAGCTTCACATGTCTCGCTAAGCGTGGAAAGCGATCTGGCGCACGCTTGTCGACTGCCACTGCGTGTGAAATTCGCGACCAATGGCTGAATACGGGTGACAACTGCCGAGATTTCTTGATTGGGGTCGGGCAACTGGATGACACGCGGGCAACATCTCACTGTTGATATATTCGCAGGAAATCAGGGTTCCATTTTTTCATTTTCACTACTCCGCAGTAGGCTTAAACCCAGGGGTGGTTCATTCTCCCCGAAAGGAAAATTTCTGGGTTTAAGCCTATCTTGGGGTAGTCAAAAAGTGAAACCCCGCAGGAAATCATCATTCATTCCACGGAGTGACATCTGAATCCCCAGCCGACCCTCCTTTGCGAGGCTCGCTCCAAGACAAAGTGAGGTGGCTTGTGGAGGCGAGAAGGGGCAGCCCGGCTTTATGTTTTTGCACCCCCCCTACCTTAGGGGGGAGGGGGTAGGGGGTCCCCGAATTCCAATTATCTAGTCTTCCCCATGAAAGGGAAAATGGAACCATAAATGGAATTTCAGGGGTCACCCCCCCCAATTCCATGTTTAAGGGGGCGGGAATGTTTTTGCTTGGTGGGAAAACACGCACTTTCATGTCACGCCCTTTTAAACAAAAAGAAACACGTTTATAGGGAGGTCAACCCCTCCCATTCTGCAGGGGAATTTCAAGGGGGAGACATCTTCCCAAAAGCTACAGGTGAAACAGCCGTCAAAAACGGTCAAAACGACTCGCAAAGCGCTCGGCGGCCACCGGGTTGCTGGCTGGCGAACTTCTTTTGCTGCTCCGCGCGAACGGCTGCGGCCTGGCCACACGTGGCGCTCACGGGAGCCTTTCCAACGTCGCGCACGCGTGTCAAGTCAGAAAAAATGCACACAGGTGGTATCCCCCAGCCCTGGAACGTCCTGGATCCGAATCTCCGGAACCCTCCGTGAAAGATGCAAACCGGCCCTTATCGCCTATCTGGGCAAAGACCAAATCCATAGCTTTCACCCTGAAGGAGAAAACTACTGCTGCCCAACCAAAGGTCGGACAAAGGTTGAAGTTGCAGGTAAAGCTGGCTCACTGCCACACCTTTCAGCACAAATCACGGTTTGCTGTTTCGTCGCTAGTCAGGACTGCGCGTGACCCTCCTCTGAGCAACCGGCAAGACGCCCGTACTCCAGGGTGGCTCACGGACACACAGAAAAAAGGAATATGAGGTTCATAAACAACTCCCACACACACACACACAAGCAAGCAAGCAAGCAAGCAAGCAAGGAAGCAGGGCACAGCAAGGCACAGCAGGCCAGAAAGCAACGCAAGCTAGCAAAGAAAGCAAGGCCAACAAAGCAAGCAGGCAAAGCAAGTCAGCAAGCAAGCAGGCAGGCAGGCAGGCAAGCAAGCAAAGCCAGCAAGCAAACAGGCAGGCAGGCAAGCAAGCAGCGCAAAGCAACACAAAGCAACGCAAAGCAACACAAAGCAACGCAAAGCAACGCAAAGCAACACAAAGCAGCGCAAAGCAACGCAAAGCAGAACAACACAAATCCAAAGCAAGCAAGGCAAGCAAGCAGGCAAGACAAGGCAAGCACGCAATTCCTTCTAGCGTGGGAGTGATCAGATTGACAGTCTCCTCAAAATCCCCGTGACATACGGGTTGACACATGTTTCACCCCTTCAAGTAGTCTTCCCAGAAATTTGCCCCCCAAATCTCCTTCCAGCTTCCGCAGGCGGGATATCCCTCAAGGTCTTCCAGGGGATATGGCGTCGTAAAGGCTCGCCGGGATGGCCCGAAGCTCTCTGGTCAAACCCCTGGTCAAAGATGGTAGGCTCAGAAGTGGATTTCCATGGGGAAAAAAGAAGAATCGGCACCCTTTCTTGGTTGCTTGACTTTACATAGCCCAAATGCCCCAAAAAAAGTCGAAACAAGGAGAAACAAGAAGGTTGCAACTGGTTGCGCCCGTCCTGACCTCTTCCAAGAAAAGCTGAACAAAGAGCGGAATCCCCTTACCCATGCCACCCCCCGCCTGTGCCAAGGCGGCCTCCCCGTCGCCCACCTGCTTCTCCAGCTCCTGGCCCGCGCGGATCGATGGCTCTTCCCGAGCCCAAAAACGGTCTCCCTTTCAAGCCCAAAATGGTCTCCATGTACAAGCATACAACATGTCTCTCCCTTTGGTCTCCAAAAAGAAAAACTACAAAAAGGTCGGACCAAAATGGTCTCCGGTTGACCCCCAAAATGGTCTCCCTTTACAACCATATAACAAGCATACAACATATTTTTTTCCCTTTAAGGTCTCCCTTCAAAAACAAGACATAAACAAGAAGCCTCGGAAAGCATGCGCATCCAAAGTTCTCTCCTTCTGCCCTGTAAACATCGACTTTTGGTTGCCATCAACTGAGTGTCTGGCTCATGTTTCCCCGATTTCCTGTAACAGCGAAATCTCCTTCTCGCCCCGTCGAACTGGATTCAAAAGGGCGAGAGCAAACGTCACCCATGTTTTTCATCCTGTTTCCTTGGAAACTGAACTGGGCCCTCAGATCCCCTGCTAAAAGTTGTTGTTTTTTTTTTTACCTTTTAGTGGGTTGAATGGAAACTAGTGCCGCAACTAAAAACCCACCAACAGCCAAAGGAACCGGATGGCCAAAGGAACCCCAAAAAAAGAACCCCTAAGGACACCTAGAGCCAAAAAGGGTGGCCTTCACGCCGCCTCTCATAGGTTGCAAATGGAACCTGGGTGAAACCTTTTGGCGGGGAAATGAATGGAGACAAGGGCAAAGCTGGTAGAGGGCCTCTCCGGATATGTTCCAATGACGAACAGAAAAGCTGATGCGGAGCCCAAACTAATAAACCTGTAGGATTGAATGGTGGTGTTGCCCCCAAAGCGGCCAATCCAAATCCAAGCCGTAAATCAAAGCAACAAATGTGGAGCCCACATCAACCAACCTCTCGGATTAAATGGTGTATCCCCAAAAGAGAAGGATCCCCAGCCCAAAACCGCCAATCCAAACCACCAAGAGGCGTGACCCGAAACCCCCGCGACCCGAAACCCCGACGACTGCAAGTGGCCAGCCGAAAAATCCTGCAGACTGATGGCCAGCCGCGTCTTCGTGGCGGTCCAGCTGTCGATGGAGGATCTCGGTGGCGGAAGCCATGAAGCCGTGAAGATTCGCGGATGCGCGGATTGGGCAGGAGCATAGCAATGGGCTGTCCGTTTTCAGATCCCCTCCTAAAAATGTTTTACCTTTTAGTTGGTTCAGTGCAAACCCAGCAACTAAACCAACTAAAAAGCTAAAAAGCTAAAACGCTAGATTGATGGCTGGGAACCACGAGGAATGGGTTGTGGCGATATGCCGTTGCCGCACAGTTCTTACAGTACAGCATCTGAGGGAGCAAGGCAAATTGCTGCAATCCACGTGCTCGGAAAATGAACTCCACAGAAAGCCTCATGGGTTTACCCCGGATCGTGAGTGTGCTATATGAGTTGCTCAAAAGGATTCCGACAAACGAACAAGCGGGGGTACGGAGGGAGCGAGGATATGGGGATTATCTAAGGTGCATCAAAAGGGGGAATCCTCCCGTATCCACCTGGTTCCCCCTGTATCCCTGCCAGTTCTGGCCTTATTATTTTGCCATGATCAAAGTCACCCCTAAGTGGTGGGTTAAAGGGAAACAACCGAATCCATTTTCTGACTTTAACCCCCAGAAACCGTCAAAATGACCCCAGTAGTTAGTTTCCCATCATCCAAAGCTACGTGTTGCGTAATGAAGCGCTCCCTCCCGCCAGAAAGCTGTGAAAGCATCTCATAGAGACGACAAGCCTTTTGGTTTTTCGATCCCTGGAAAAATGAGAGAATATGTCCAGTAGTGATAGATTCCAACTTTAAAACCAACAGGGAAAATAACAAATATTCTTAAGCAAATGGAAGCAAGCTGAGAGGGAGAAGTCGCTCTTAAGTTAAGCTCTGGGGGTGTGGGAACAGCTTAGGGGCGTTGCAAAACCAGAAAGAACAAGTGGGGCAGCTTAGGGGCGAATGTTCGAAAACCAGAAGGAGCAAGTCGAAATCGGGCATTGCCTTGTCAGCCTCTATGTTCAAGCAGGGTGTTGGCAGACTGAGGAGACTTGGGGGGTCCTTGACCCGGCCCTGGGGTACACCAAAACAAATTCTGCTTTATATGTAGTCAATCGAAAAAGCACACAATACTATCTGAGAAAAGGAGGTACCTCTCGGAGCAGCCTGAAGATCCAAATCATCCAATCTCTGAAATCTCTCATCACCTGACTGCTAGGCACCCTGTCAAAGAACAGGATACACTCAACCACAAAACGACGGTAACTTAGAACACTCACTCGAAACACTAAAAAATAGCATGTGTTGTTAACACTCACTTGAAACACTCACTCAAGCTTGCATGATCTTGCATGTTGCCTTACTTGCAGCATCCACATCTTCAACATGTCCAGTCCTTTCGGGGGGTCACCCTTCCCTTCACTGAAGTCTGGGAGCATGGCGCCAGCTCAGCCATGTGAGCCTTGCTGGGTTGCGACATCCAACCGGCGCACATCTGGGTGCACATCTGGGGTGCGCAGAAAACTTGGTGCACATCTGGGGTGCTTTTATTAAAATACTCAACAAGCACAAAACATACTTGAAGGAGACCCCAAGGCTGCCACTACCCAGCAAAAACAACACACGGGACCCCAAAATTACAGTGGTTACATCCCTTCTATAGCGTTTGTATAGTCATGGTATAAGCTGTTTCTCCCTTCGGCGTACTGCCACGTAGACACTTTACATGCAGCGTTTTCCCTTGGGTTCCTATACGCATATATCATCCAAGAACTATAAGGCTACTGACTGCACCAACACCTAGGCGCATGAGGAATGACCGATTGCAGGCCTTCCGGGCAGAGGCTTCCAATCTATGGCTTCCACTAGCACCAGTGTTCCCGATCCTGGCAAAACAACCATCCTGTCCATGTCCTTTCAAGGCCCAGGCCGTTGATCGCTCAATGGTCTCGCCTTTCTCCTTCCTGGGCAACGAGACACTCGGCGCCGGAAACAACCTCTCCGGCGTCATGTGGTCGCTGAGCGAACCGCCCCAAAGCCATGACTTCTACCCCTACGATTGAATTTCCAAAAAGTCGGAGGTGCGGCAACTTGGGATGCGAGTGTTCAGCATAAGGGCCCAAAGTCAACAATGGCAACCCGCGCCACTGACCAAGATGGCTTGCGGCAAAGTCGCCAGACATGAAATGCTGCATGCGAAGAATTCAGCTAGAACATGAACTATCGAGGGAACATAGCACCATTGCTTTGCAATCGAGGACGCAACCAAGCAGCGCGACCCAGATCCGCACTTTAAGCGGGTGCATCCCTCATAATTTATGCATTGACCAAAAGGGCCGTCATCCCTGCAAAATGTCATTGCAACGCCGGCACTCAGGGATCACAACCATCCCCGGTAGACCAAACGCACAATGCTTGTCACATTCTTGCGAGTACTTAGCGCTTCCTGAGCGATGGTCAAAGTTACGGGTGTTGGAACCCATCTGTTTGATTGCGCAGCATCAAATGCAACCGTACGCATAACAAACTGGGGAACCTCCCTGGGCCCCTGGTGTATCATTGAACGGTCCCCAGCCAAGCCCCCATGCCACCCCGGCCTATCCTCTGCGTGTTCTGGCAATCTTCCCAGTTCTGGGCGCTAAATAGGGGGCCTGGGAAAGAAAAACATACACATCCCCTTCTTGGTTTCCCTTTGGTTCAATCAACCAATGTGGGCTGCTTAGCACCCATCATCTTCTCTCTTAAGGAGAGGTTTGGAGTGGCTTCTGGAATTGAACCCCTTCTTGCAGAGGCAGATGGCAAACCCCCCCCCACACTTCCAAACCAATCTAAGCCACCAATCAGTTGGAGTTCATTGGAAGCCGAATTTGACCGCCACGTCTGGACCTCCGGAAGCCTTGCGACCCTGGGGCCGCCGCTTCTCAGTCTCGCACCGGCCTCTCACACATCGCTGATGGCTCAACCCCCGAGGTGCCAAGTTGACCCGAAAAAGCACATGTACCACACACAAGAGCCTCATGAGAAAAGGACTTTCTACTGGGAGGGGTGATTCTTGTTGCTCCGATTTGTAGGGGGTGACAGAAAAGTAAAACAAAGCAAAAACACCACCCAGAGGGGCCTTAAAAGGGTCACATGTTCCGAACCACCCTTTCGGTCTTGTCTATGACCACCGAACATCAACCTGGCAAGCAAAACAGGGAAGGCCCGGCGCCTGCTTGTGGAAACAGGCCCCCGCTATCAGTCTTTCTTACCCCCAAAAACGTGTGTTTCAATATAACAACTACAGCCAAGCTGGGGGGGCATCTAGAATCTTCCGTTCTTGTATTCTTGGCGAGTGTACAATCCAGCTGCCAGGAGTGAACGTCGACCTGGATTAATCAACCTGGTGAACAACGGTGATTCATCCCCAAAACAAACAAGGATCCCCTCTTGAATAGGACAACTCTGCCTGGTTGAGTCATGGGATCCCACTATCGATTGTCCTGCCCCCAGGCGAGGGTCGCTGTGACTTGCCAAACATGCAACTCTCCAGAGCAGCTTAATCTGAAATCCGCTGGCCGCTTACTTCCTTGGAACGAGCTGGAGATTGCCTGTTGAGGAATCCTTCTTGCTGGCGGCAGATTGCTTGATTGGCATAAGCTCGGAATTGCATGCGAACGAATGCGGCCCATGAACTTGCCAGGATCAAGTAGCCCATCCAGCAACTCAAACAAAAAAACAACCCCAGGTTCTGACTTTGATAACCCCAGCCAAAGTGCAGTACAGTAAAATGACCAGTGCAGTAAAAAGTGTCAAGCTTCACCAGAAAGGTGATAGAAGCCAGCTACAAGAAATCTCTACAGGATACTTGCCAAACCACCAAAGCAGGATTTCCATGGATTTCCTGTAGAATGTTCTGTAGTTTGCTTTACCCCCTACTGTGCATGGACAACAGTTGCGATGGATGAAGCTCGATAGATCCTTCGAGAACCACCTATCCACTGGTGCAGGAGATCGTCGTACCCGGCTGCCCTCAAATGTCCTGCTAAGAGCGAATAAGTTGTAGTGCGCAAAATGGAAGCTACCACTAACACCACCTAAAAACCGCTAAAAACCTAAGGAATCGGATGGCTGGGAGCCACCAAGAGTGTGAACTGCAGCAATTGCAGCAAAGGAACACAGCAGCTTCTTCTGGCTCTTGGCATCCTCCTCGGTCTCTTGTACCATTGTCTTTTCCATGGCCTCGCAAGCACCAGCTTCAGGTGCTAACTTGGCCTGAATGATTAGACGGGGTTAACGATTACCGGGTACTCAACACCAAATATAGGTCATGATGGTCGGATAGAAGTGTTAGCAAGTCTATTGCCCCTCATATCGCTCACAGGAAGTTCTAAGTGCAAAACGGTAAAACATGTCTTGCACTACAGGGGGAAGCCTGTTTCCACTTGCAATCAGTACGACTGTTCAGGGTGCCGTCCCATAAAAACAACGCACAACTAACAAACATACGGGGCAACCTATCCAAGTGCCAAGGATTCAATTAAAGAAGAAACACCAACAACAAGAACAAGAAGAAACACAAGAA